TTCTTATCATTGTAATAATCTCATAAAATTTTACCATTATAATAATCTCACAAATTTTCTGATTTTCATTTCTTACCTTTTTTTCCCTTTTTTCTCTTTGTTTCATTCCTTCTTATTATAACTTTCTATTTACATTTGGTTGATTAGCTGCGTTCGTTAGCTCGCTTCTAAGCAACCATCGAGAGAGGAATTTATTGTGAGTTCTAATGCTAATGAGTAGTTTCTGTTATCAGTTGCTTCGAATTGGGCAGCTTCCTCGAACCTGTGCCTCTTGCAGAGAGTGAATACGGACGGGCTTTCGAAATTTGATTAACTGTTAAGTAATTTAGTAATTTGATTAATTATTGAGTAAGTAATCAAGTAATTCGATTTTTAATAATTTGAGTTTTTTTTTTGTATTTCAGTTTTTTCAAAAAAAAAAATAATGACTCTCTGACTTTGAGTTTTTCGAAACTGACCGCATTTTTTATTGAAATTCAGGCCAAGCTTTCCCATATCAACACCTATTAGCGGAATGTTCGCTAGCTCAAGATCTCCGCGATATCTACAACGATGTTAGTGAATGTGGCAGGGTACATGTTTTCCTGAACGATTTTATTGAAATTGGCTTCTGCGTTCAACCACGTGCTCTCCTGCATGCCGGTCTAACACCAAGAACTCGGTAAAACTTTTGCTGTTGCTTGAAAATTTTGCAAAATTTAGTTCAAATGGGTAATAAAAGCTTTCTTCTAATTGGCTGAGGTGGTACTTTTCGCGCAACAGAGATCCTCAAATTTCCTCAGATCCTCAAAGATCCTCAGATCCTCAAATCAAGCGCAAAGCATTGAGGGATTTTGAGGTATTCTGAAAGCATTGAGGGGTTTTCTCAACCCCCTCTGCTTACTGAAGAAGCTGTACTGTAATAATTGTACTGTAATCGACGATTCTAATAAATACGAAGAGTTTTTGATTTTAGGCTTTAGGCGATTTCTCGGTTTTCTGGTGGTACTTGTTGCAGCAAAGTTTTTGTATTTGCTGAAAATATTGATTTTTCTCGAAAAAATTTGTTTTTTTTTTATCGATAAAGGTGTTTTTTGCAAATTCTAGAGCCGAAGTGGAAAAAACCATTCAACGTTTACGGCCCTATCATGGAATTTTACTCCTGGAAGATGCCGTTCCAGGACACGATTCAAATCCAGCACTTAATCTCTTCCTGAAGCACTGCCACCCTGACCAGAGGTTTTTTTTAATTTCTTTTTTAATTATCGATTAGTCATCATTTTAGACAGCATCAAATAATCATCATTTTAATCATTATTTTATCATGATTTTACCGCTCCGCAAAAATTCTTATGATTTATTTTCATCCATTGTCTTCGGTGTTCTGTCTTCATTTTACCTCCTATTCTCTGGTTGTAACTTCTGGGGACGTTGAATAACATCATCATTCATTTATGGGCCATTTTTGGGAAGTTTTATTATAAATCGATTTTTTTCAGTTTCATTGGAGTGAGCGATTCGACAGGCCTTCCATTGCTTCAGGTGTTAATAATTGTCAGACATTTGCTCCTCTGGGCACGTGCTATCGTCATATATCCATTGTGTGGTTCAAATGTCTACACTTCCGCTACATCGCCGAAACCGCTGATGAGGTTCCGCACGTTTTTGCATAAACCTTTTGTGCGTAAAAAACTCTGAAAATAGGATATTTCCGTGTGTGTATGTATGTATGTATGTATGTATGTATGTATGTATGTATGTATGTATGTATGTGTATGTGGGTTCGCATGTGTATATGTATGTTTATATGTGGGTTTATACATGTATTTGTTTGTGTGTGGGTGTTTTTGGGCGGGTATGTGTGTGTTTGGTTATGTGTTTGTGATTATATATGTATATTTGTCCGAATAATATGTAAGTAAATATGTTTATCTATGTTTAATTAAATATGTTTAAATGCTTGTATACACAAGTAATTGTATAGGTTACGTATGTGCCTACTTGTTTGTCTATTTACATGTGTGTGTTTATTTGTTTATGTATGTATGTCTGTATCTGTGTGTATTTAAGCGCGTATGTATGTGATGTGTGTGTGTGTGCGTGTGTGGTGTGTATTTAGTATGTGTATCTATGCGTTTATTTATTGTGTTAGTGTATGTATGTATGTGTGCGTCTGTATGTAGTATCTAATCTGTATGTTTGTTGTTTGTACGCTTAGCTGAAAATTTTTGCAAACTTTTAATCGCAGTGGTTTTTGCAAAAATTGATTGAGAATTGATGTAGATGAAAATAGAAAATCTGATCAATTATCTTTAAAAAAAAGGGCATCACCACTCTTTTCAGATATCTTTTTTATCACTTTGAAATCCATCAAAGGATCAAAGATTAGATGAAAAGTAGATACCTGAGATCTTCGGAAACTGAAAGATTTTTAATCCTTCAATTTTGAAGACCAGTAAATCATCCACTTCAGGCTCACGGAACAGTACAGCCAGATGTTTGGAAATGCTCATTTACCGACTATATTAGCGCAATTTTCACCTCCCTGTATGCTAGCCGAATTCGTGGATCCCTCATTGTACAGTGCCGAGGAACAGGTATGTGATAGTACCAAATGTTTCAGAAATTTTAAATATATAAACAGTAAATATCCCTGGCTAGAAGACTGGAAGAGTACGGGGACATGAAATCGCCTCAATGTGTTAACATATGCAGTTTGTTTGGCACTGTTGACCCATCACTGTGGAGAGGAACACAATCGAATTTTGATAATTCAGCTTAGTTTTTATAGGAAATTTATTTATGCCAACAGTGCAGTTCACTGTATGTGATTTGTTTGTAAAGATTTTTGGGCGATGACATTTACATTTTTCCTCATTTTCATTTTTTTTTTTTATTTCTGTATTTTACACGTGTCTTAGGTCTAGCTTGGCTCCATATACCTTTTATGGGGTTTTTTTCGTATTAATAGAAAATGCTATTAAAAAAAACAAAATTTTCTTATTCGTCTTCTGTGAGAAGAGGAATCGTCCGAGGAACCCGAGCGGTTGCAAATACCAACAGCAACTATCGGCTGGCAAAGATGTCGATGGCTTCCACTTTCGAGAATTGCTTAGAAGCAAGCTGATGGCGGGTTTGACTTTCTAGCACACGTTGATACCAATTAATCACCAAAGTGAAATCAGTTGTAGAGGGATTGGTTGTCTCACTGGCAGAGTCGAGCTCTCAACCTGCTGTACGACAGCATTGCTGCTTCCTGCTAACGTCATTCTCGGCAACACGAAATTTTATATTTCGCCTTAAATAGGCCTGTTTTTTAGGAACTTCGAATACGAATGGTTGCACGACTTCTACGGGATGAGCTTATCATGCAACTGCACACATTCCTTTATTTGGTTCCGCCATGCTCGCATGAAACTGTTGACGTGTTTGTTTGGTTTTATGTGAATCTTCAAATATTCCAACCCTCAAAATTTCCGAAATTTTGATTAAATCCTTCAAAAAAAACGGTCCTCGTCGAACAGGCGGTCTATAGGTACATAGTTGCCTGGCACAGCTGCATCCGGCGTATGAGAGCATTTCAGTATCAAAATTAGAGGGTTACCCACAATAAGTGTCTGCCAGTCTTGGTAGATTAAGAAATTATTCGTGGTTCCCCTAGTATGATTTTTTTTCACATAAATTTGAAGTGTCCAGATCCCAGATTCCTCACATATTACCGTCTTTTGTACGAGGAAAAAAAAAAAAAGGGGGGGGGGGGGGGGG